GCTTCCTGGGATTCAGGATGGTATGCACTGGATTTAAAGTGTATGAGGCCTAAACTATCCATGAGCTCCTTAAATGGTTTGGCAGTAAAATTGGACCCATGATCTGATTGAATCTCCCTGGCTAGTCCATAATGGCTAAAGAAAGCAAGCAACTCTTCCACAACCTTTTTTGCCTTGACATTTCATTTTGGAATTACCTCTGGAAACCTGATAGACATGTCTATTATGGTTAGCAAATACTGATTCCCACTTTTGGTTTTAGGGAGGATACCTACACAATCAATCATAACTCGCGTGAAAGATTCTTCAAATGCAGGAATTGGCACTAAAGGTGCGGGATTTGTTACTGCCTGTGGATTTCCTACCATCTGGCAATAATGATAGTTGCGGCAAAATTCAACCTCATCTTTACATAATCCAGGCCAATAGAAATGCTTCTGTATCTTAGCCTGAGTCTTCCTCACTCCTGGATGATTTCCTACTGGTAATTTGTGTGCTATCTGCAGTAAGTCCTGTCTGTATTCTATCAGCAACACAAACTGGTGAACTTTAGCCTATTTCCCCTTGCACTAACTTACCAAGGTCTCCATTTCCACCTTAAGATTTTATCCTTTGGATAATAGTGTTCTGGGATACCTTCTGATTTCTTTCAGAGTAGGCTTTATGATATAAATCTTTTATTGTCTCATCTTTTTGTTCTAACTTCATTAATCTTTCAAAACTAAACACCTCTGTCTGATCTTCTACCTGCGTAGGTTTTTCCTTTACCGTCTCATCAAACAAAGTGTCAGCTAACTGGACTCAACTCCTTCATCTTTCTCTTTTGTTTTCCTGTCTTGTTTTAATTTGTGGCTGTGGGATTTTGTCACCACACAGTCTAGAAAAATTCCAGGGTATTTTTCTTTTAACTCCTCAGTTCTCTGGATTTCTTTTGTCTTCCATTACAATGGGCATCACTCCCACCTATGATCCAGCTATATCATTTCCAAGAACAAGCTGTATTTTTGGAAAAGCTAATTTTTCCATTACTCCCACTGCCACTTATCCAGTTTTGATTGGATTTTCTAGCCTTATCTTTCACATGGGGAACACTAATTCACTCTCCCTTTATTCCACAGATTGTCATTGTCTCGGGCAATGTTTCAGAAGGAATGCAGATATTTTCATCTCTTACTATTAGAGACTGATCCGCTCCCGTATCTCTCATTATTTTAACTTCTTTACCTTCTCCCCTCTTGCTTCCTAAGTAAGTCTTTGAAGAGATCGGGCACGCTCTTACTATCCAGCTGGTGACTAGGCTGTGCGCTCTCCTGCAGCTCGTCGACTTCACTTGGGATTTCCTTCACTACGTTAACTTATCCCACTGGTTTAACCTCTTTTATCGGATCGTCTTTCCCAGACCCTTTCTTAAACCACCGGCACTGTGACTTTGTAAGTTCCACCTTATTGCAGTGAAAACATCTGAGGTCTTTCATCGTTTTTTCACCCTCTTGGGTTTCTTTTTTCACATGTGCTAAACTGTTCCCATTGTGATCTAAGTTTTGTTTTTCATTGAAGGATCTCCCTCTGTCCCAATTTCTATCCCTCACGGAATGAAATTGCTGTCGGAAGCTAGATTTCAATTTATGCTCTAATGCGTATTCATCCTCCATCCCAGCAGCTCTTCTCACTGTTTAAGCTCTCTGTTCCTCAAAATAAGTTCTTATCACTTCTGGAAGTGAGTTTTTAAACTCCTCCAGCAGAATAATATCTCTAAGAGCCTTGTATGTCTTTTCTATCTTTAATGCTCTCATCCATCTATCAAAGTTGTCCTGTTTAATTCTTTCAGACTCGATATAAGTGGTGTAATCTGCCTTTCAGTAACTTCTAGTGGTTAAATGAAATAAACCCCTGACGCTCACTTTACAATCAACAAGTAACAATTTATTGATCCAACTCTAACAGTGAACAAATTCACTAAACTATTAACAAACCGAATAAATCCCTTCTAACTACTAACAATTCCCAAATAAAACAAGATTCTAATAGTATGCTATTCCAATAAATACAAGGCCCAATTATACAAAATAAAATTTTAAAAATGTAGAATTGAGTCTCTTGAAATTACAGCCAGGTTACGTGTCTTCTGGAATGCTCTGTGCCTTCTCCGTTGATTCATTTGTCAGGAATATTCACTAATTGTGCAATGGGTGCCTTTGTTCTTTCAATGGCGCTTCCTCTAAGACTTAGGGAAGTCTGTGAGAGCCAGCGATTCTCTGTTCAGAGCTGAGGACTGTTAACTCTGGCAGGTGGCAGTTAGTTCTCCTGACTTTGCCCAACTGCACCTTCTTTTATACCCTTGATGACATATAAATTTCTTACAACAGGATTGTCCTATGTTGTCAAAACCATCAGATTTAAATTTAATTGGCTTTTGATATCTAAATGCCTGGTTCAAATTGATACGCTAAATTCAAAAATTTGTTGTCTTGGTAAAAACTGCTGTTTGGCCTGCTAACTGCACGGCCTTTTAATACAAATGTCTCAATTCAGGTGTTCTCTGTGTATTTGCAAACTTTAAGTTGCTGCTCGCAGACTTTGTTTTAAAAATCTCCAAGCATAGAAAAGGCATGTAATCATTTAAAGAGACCACGCAATGCTTTCCCCCCCTAGCACTTTACAAACACCAAATTCTAACTTGCTGCCTCCCAATCTACAAGTACTCTACAGAACTTTGCAACTATTCTCCATTGTTAATTTACCTTGAGAAGATGGAGATTCACTGTAGTACATTTCTGTAGAAGTTTGATTCAAATGATTAGCTTCCAAGCCACTCACCGTCCAGGTTTGGAAATATATTATTGTTCCTTCAGTGTCACTGGGTCAAAATCCTGGAATTCCCTCCCAAACAGCATTGTGGGTCAACCTACAGGACTTGGACTGCAGCAGTTCAAGAAGGCAGCTCTGCACCACCTTCTTAAGGGCAACTGGGGACAGGTGATAAATGCTGGCCAGCCAGAGATACCCACATCACACAAATGAATTAAATAAAAGTCTATTTCAGTGGGCATTAAAGAGTGAACCAAATTGCTGTGGGTCTGGAATCAAATGTAGGTCAGACAGGTGACCAGATGGGTTTTTACAGCAATCTACAATGGTTTTGTGATCAGCATTACTGAGCTTAGCTGTTAATTCCAGAATTATTAATTGAATTCAAATTCCATTAATTGCTGTGGTGTGATTTGAACCTGTGTTTCAGAGCATTAACCTGGGCCTCTGGACTGCTAGGCTAGTAATATTTCCACTGAATTGCCGGAAGGCATAGGAAATGTTTCCCGCTGACTGAAATATTTTCAGTATTTTTCTTTTATTTCATATTTCCAGCGTTCCTAGTGTTTTGCTCTTTTATTAAGATTGAAAGGAGGTAGAGAAGAACAGTTCACATTGGAAAAACGATTGAGAACAAAAGGGCACAGATTCAAAGTAATTGGCAAATGAGGCAATGCTAATATGAGTTAAAACTCTTTATGCAACAAGTGATTAAGGTCTGGAAAGCACTTTCTGAGATTGTGGCGGAAGCTGATACATTTGACGACTTCAAGAAGGAATTGGGTTATTATATGAAAGGGAAAACTGTGCAGGATAGAGGGAAAAGATGGACTGTGGCACAAGTGAATAACTCATTCAGAGATTTAACACAGGCATGACATGCAGTTTGAAGCTATCTAGAGGAAGCGTAATAGATTGATACCCAAACTGAGAAAGTTGTCTTATGAGGAAAAGCTGGACAGACTGGGCTTGTTTCCATTGCAGTTCAGAAGAGTGAGGGGTGATTTGATTAAAGCTTATTGAGTTCCAGAATAGTCTAAACAAGATGGATTTGGAAAGAATAAGTGAATAGGTGAATCCAGAACTAAGGGTCACTTTGAAAATTTAGGGTCATCCTTTTTAGGATAGAGGTGAGGAAAAAGATTTGCTGTCAGAAGTAAAATAACAACAAGAACTGCAAATACTGAAGATCTGAAACACAAACAGAAATTGCTGGAGAAACTCGTCCGGTCTGGCAGCATCTGTGGAGAGAAAAGCAGGGTTAATGTTTTGAGTCCATTAACCCTTCGTGAGAACCAACAGACCTGCTAAGTTTCTCCAGTAATTTCTGTTTGTATTTTCTCTCAGAGGTTGTGCAACTTTGGAACTCTACCTCAAAAGGGAGTGGAAGCAGCATTGTTGAATATATTTAAGTCAGAGAGATGGATTTTTGTTAGGCAAAGAAATCACCTGTTATCGGGATAAATGGAAATATGAAATTTGAAACATAATAAATCAGCCATAATCTGATTGAATGGTGCAGCCGACTCCTGGCTCTGAATGGAAAGTCCTGCTGCTAATTCATATTGTCGTATGATTAGCCTCCTTCTGTACTATAACAGTTCTTTGATTCTTTATCTCATTTTCAATTAATCTGGCTTTGCTCCATGTTTCCCTAAATGAAATAATCTACATAAAAATTTGGATATAGTTAAATCTAGAGAAACAAAGTTTTGTAAGGATGAAATTGTATCTATGGAAGAGTAATTGTGAAGTTCTTTCCCACAAAAGTACAATGAAAAGTCATAGGCGGTGAAATTATAATTTTCCAATAGAGACAGACAGCATTTCACTAAATTTACACTATGAAATATCAAAATAAAGGAAATATGGTGAATCCAGAACATGGTGTCAAGGTAGGTCAGACCAGTTAGAGCAGTGACATTAACTTAAATTAACGGAAAGTAAATTTAAAACAAATATTAGAAAATTTGAATTCAAAAATTGATGTGGTTAGAACAAGTCAAAGACGTTAGGAACATTCAAAATGCAACTGATTGTTAGACTGGGTGGATTAAGCTTAAAAATACATAATGTCTTATTGTATTTCAAAAGTCTCAAACTGCTTCACATAAAATAACTCAATGGAATGAGCTATGATGAACCAAGTGGCCTTTTATGGTCCTTGATTTTACAGACGTTTTGACTTACAGGAGCGCATTTACTGGCAGAAGAAAGTAGAGCACATACAGAACCTTGAGCAAGGAGATTCAAATAAATGCGAACTAGAACAGGTTCTGAAAGAAATTCATAGTGAATATGAACAGCTCGCTAAAAAGAATAAAGAGGATATGGAGAAATATAAGCAGAAGGTAGGTTTGGAAAATAGTGTCATACTCATTACATTTTAGAAAAATGTATGACTACACACCAGTTAATGGCTGTCATTTATGAATGAATCAAATAGACATATGGGCAGAATTTTACAGCTCCCTGGCAGGAGTGGTTAAATAAAATTCTTACTCCTCTCTGCCCAAACTGTTACAGTTTTACAGGCCCTATGGTAGCCCACACCCTCACTGCATTTGAGGTCATTAAGTGCCTAATAATTGATGAAAGGTTTTCAGAGATCAGGGAGTTGGGGGGCCAGTCTAGCAGATCACACTGCTCAGGCTTGGGTGAGGGGAGGAAATGCCTTAATTGTTTCCTTTTAATTACCTTCCTTTGTAGATTGGGTCAACTCTCCTCTGCCTCCCCCAATGTCTGCCCCTTCGTAACATTGATGCCACACAAGTGCTGGATAATTACCATTTCCAACAAAAGACAATCTAACTGTCAGCTCTTGACCTTCAGTGGCGTTTCCATTACTACCTCAGCCTTAAATATATACAAGAACTCCACCTCAACATTTCTGGAGCAAGGAATTCCAAAGACTGACAAAACTTTTAAAGAAGAAATTCCTTCTCATCTCAGTCTTTATTCTGCAACAATGTTCCCTGGTCCTAGGCCTTTCCATCAGGGGAAACATCTTCTCGGCATTTACCGTTAAGCTTCTTAAGAATCCACTATGTTTAAATGAGATCATCTCTCATTCTTCTGAACTCCAGTGAGTAGAGTCCCAACCTCTTCACCCTTTGCTTGTAAGACATCAATATCAGGGATCATGACAGGGAGCAAGGAATGCCTGTTGGATTAAATTGCATCTGTTTCAGTGCAAGAGGACTGACAGGTAAGGCCAATGAACTCAGGGCATGGATATCTATGTGGGACAGTGATATTATAGCCATTACAGAAATATGGCTAAGGGAGGGATAGGACTGCCAGCTTAATGTGCCAGGGTACAGGTGCTTCAGGCAGGACAGAGATGGAGGAAAGAGGGAAGGGGGAGTTACATTTTTGATTAAGGACAGTATAACAGCAGTAGTCAGAGATGAAATAACTGAGGGAACATTCAGTGAGACTTTGTAGGTGGAGCTAAGAAATAAGCAGGGGATAGTGACGTTATTGAGGTTGTGATATACGTCCCCCCATTAGTCAATGGGAACTAGAAGAACAAATATGCAGGGAGATTGGGGAGATTTGCAGGAGCAGTAGGGTTGTCATAGTGGGGGATTTTAATTTTCCTAAATAAACTGGGACTTTTTTTTCCCATTCAGTTGTGGGATGTGGACATCGCTGGCTGGCCAGCATTTCTTGCCCATCCCTAGTTGACCTTGAGAAGGTGGTGGTGAGCTGCCTTCTTGAACCGCTGCAGTTCACCAGCTGTAGGTTGACCTACAATGCCATTAGGGAGGTCTAGGATTTTGACCTAACGACAGTGAAGAACGGCGATATATTTCCAAGTCTGGTGAATGGCTTGGAGGGGAACTTGGAGGTGGTAATTTTATTCCCATATGTCTGCTGCCCTTGTCCTTCTAGATGAAAGTGGTTGTGCGTTTGGAAGGTGCTGTCTGAGGAGCTTTGGTGAATTTCTACAGTGCATCTTGTAGATAGTACACACTGCTGCTACTGACTGTCGATGGTGGAAGGAGTGGATGTAGTGCCATCAAGCGGGCTGCTTTGTCCTGGATGGCGTCAAGCTTCTTGAGTGTTGTTGGGGCTGCACTCATCCAGGCAAGTGGGGAGTATTCCATCACGGTCCTGACTTGTGCCAAGTAGAAGGTGGACAGGCTCTGAGGAGTCAGGAGGTGAGTTACTCATCGCAGTATTCCTAGCTTCTGACCTGCTGTTGTAGCTATTGTGTTTATGTGGTGAGTCCAGTTGAGTTTCTGGTCAATGATAAGCTCCAGGATGTTGATAGTAGTGGATTCAGTGGTGGTAACACCATTGAATGTCAAAGGGTGGTGGTTAGATTGTCCCTTATTGGTGATGGTCATAGCCTGGCATTTGTGTGGTACGAATGTCACTTGCCACTTGTCAGCCCAAGCCTGGATATTGTCCAGATCTTGTTCCTTTTCAACATGGACTGCTTCAGTATCTGAGGAGGCAAGAATGGTGCTGAATATCGTACAATCATTGATGATTGTATGATGGAGGTAAGGTCATTGATGAAGCAGCTAAAGATGGATGGGCCAAGGACACTACCCTGAGGAATTCCTGCAGAGATGTCCTGGAGCTGATATAACTGACCTCCAGCAACCATGACCATCTTCCTCTGTGTAAAGTATGACTCCAACCACTGAGAAGATTCTGAGGGATAAGATATACATACATTTAGAAAGACAGTGTTTGATTAGGAGTAGTCAGCACTGCTTCGTGCGTGGGAGATCATGCCTAACAAGTTTGTTAAAGTTCCTTGATGAAGTGACCAGGAAGGTTGATGAGGGCAGGGCGGTAGACGTAGTCTACTTCATCATAGAATTCCTACAGTGTGGAAACAGGCTATTCAACCCAAAAAGTCCACACCACCCCTCCGAAGAGCATCCCACCCAGACTCACCCCCCTACCCCGCATGTCTCATGTCTAATCCACCTTACTTGCACACCCTGGAAACTACAGGCAATTTAGCATGGCCAATCCACCTAACCTGCACATCTTTGGACTGTGGGAGGAAACCGGAGATCCCAGAGGGAACCGACACAGACACAGAGAATATGCAAACTCCACACAGACAGTCACCTGAGGGTGGAATCAGACCCGGATTCCTGGCGCTGTGAGGCAGCAGTGCTAACCACTGAGCCACCGTGCTGCCTCACAAATTTGTTAGAGTTCTTTGATGAAGTGATTAGGAAGCTTGATGAGGACAGGGCGATAGACCTAGTCTATTTGGATACCAGTAAGGCCTTTGGTAAGATTCCACATGGTCGGCTGCTCGGAAGGTTAGACCTCATGGAATCCAGGGAGAGCTGGCAGATTGGATACACAATTGGCTTGATGGTAGGAAACAGAATAATAGTGGAAGGATGCTCGTCGGACTGGAGGCCTGTGACAAGTGGTGTGCCTTAGAGGTCAGTGCTGGGCCCATTGCTGTTTGTTATCTACATCAATGATTTGGATGAGAATGTCAACACAGTGTGGAGCTGGAGGAACACAGCAGGTCAGGCAGCATCAGAGGAACATGAGTTGACGTTTCGGGTCAGGACTCTGATGTGTTGACTCTGACTCCAGCATTTGCAGTTCTTGCTATCTCTGAATGAGAATGTACAAGGCATGATCAGTAAGTTTGCAGATGACAATAAAATTAGTGATATCCTGGACTGTGAGGAAGGTTATCAGAAATTGCAGCAAGATCTTGATCAGCTGGGAAAGTGGGCCGAGAAATAGGAAATGGAGTTTAATATAGGTAAATGTGAGGTGTTGCATTTTGGAAAGTCAAATCAAGTAGGAGTTTCATGGTGAATGGTAGGGCCTTAAGGAGTGCAATGGAACAGAGGGATCTTGGAGTTCAGGTGCATGGTTCTCTGAAAGTGCAGTCACAGGTAGACAGGGCAGTGAAAAAGGCTTTTGGCACACTGGCCTTCATCATTCAGGGCATTGAGTTTAGAAGTTGGGAAGTTATATTGCAGTTGTACAGAATGTTGGTAAGGCTGCACTTGGAATACTGTGTTCAGTTTTCATTACTTTACTACAGGAAGGATGTTATTAAACTGGAAAGAGTGCAGAGGAGATTTACAAGGATGATGCCAGACCTCAAGGGAATGAGTTATAGGGAGAGATTGGACAAGCTAGAACTTTGTTCTTTAGGCCGTAGGAGACTGAGGGGGGATCTTACAGAAGTGTATATGATCTTGAGAGGCACGGATAGGGTGAATGCACTCAGTCTTTTTCCCAGGGTTGGGGAATTGAGGACTAGAGGGCATCGGATTAAGGTAAGAAAGGAAAAAAAATATGGGAACCTGAGGAGAAACTTTTTTACACAGAGGATGGTACTCACCTTTCAAGGCGAGAGGGGAAAAGTTTAAGGGAGATATGCATGGTAAGTTCTTTACACAGAGGTGGTGGGTGCCTGGAACGCGTTGCCAGCAGAGGTGGTAGAGACGGGCACGATAGCGTCATTTAAGATGTATCTAGACAGATACATGAATGGGCAGAGAGCAGAGGGATACAGATCCTTGGAAAATAGGCAACAGGTTTAGATAGAGGATCTGGATCGGCGCAGGCTTGGAGGACCGAAGGGCCTGTTCCTGTGCTGTAATTTTCTTTGTTCTTTGCATATGGAATAAGCTGCCAGCAGAAGTGGTTGAGTTGGGTACGTTAACAACATTTAAAATGCATTTGGATGAGTACATGTATAGGAAAGGTTTAGAAGGATATGGGCCAAGTCAGGGAAATGGAGTCAGCGTAGATGGACATTTTTGGTCGGCATGGACCAGTTTGGGCCAAAGGGCCCATCTCCATGCAGTAGGACTCTATGACTGTATCAATTCTCTGAATTGCCTCCAATGAAATGATTGTTTTCCTTAAATGAGGAAAGCAAAGCTCCTTACAGTACTCCAGAGATAACAAGGTGTAGAGCTGGATGAACACAGCAGGCCAAGCAGCATCAGAGGAGCAGGAAGGCTGATGTTTCGGGCCTAGACCCTTCTTCAGAAAATCTCCCCAGTACCTTGAACAGTTGCAGTAAGCATTCATCCACCAAACCCCTTAAAAGAACAGCGAACATTCCATTAGCCTTCCTGATTACCTGCTGCTCCTGTGCTAGCTTTCTGTGTTTCATGCACAAGCCACTCCACCGCGCCCCCCCCCCCCCCCCCCCCCCCCCCCCCCTGTGTTACAGTTTTCCACAGTTTTTCTCCATTTAAATAATATCCTGTTCTTTTACTCTTCCTTCCATTCCTCATTAGCTGGTATTTAAAGAGGTCTTCATTTCCTCATCAACACTCCTTTTTCAATGTATTGTTTCCGATTTTCAAAAGTTGCATCTAAGAACTGC